AAAATTCATTTTAAATTTTTACAAATTAATTATTTTAATAAAAAATTGAATAGCACCATCTGAATAGCACCATTCTGAAATACTGTTTCTAATAAAACGGCAGTGGCGTGGTGTAAATGTGCAAAAGTTAAATTGTAGTAAAAAACTTGACTGCACTAAAACGTCACTGGGCTCGAGAAAGTGGTATGATAAAAGGGCTTTAGAAAAGTACATTGAATGACCTACGAAGGAAGATGTGTCAATGAGGGACATGTAAATGTTTTAAAACCATTTACGTTTATTAAGTAATGAATAAGTTCTACGTATTATTATTGGGGCACTGCGACCTTCGGGTCTATTGTGCCCCCTTCCAGGTTTAAAGTAGGTCTCTTAGCCCTGTTGCGACAATAAAATGTAGTATAAAACCTACTTTACGAAGTTTTATTCCCTTTTCCGTAGGAATATACATTCCCAGAAGCCTATTTCGTATATGCATTAGCGAAGAGCATTTTAACAGTACATGTGTGGCCGAGTCTTTATTCTCTTTACGGAATCTACAGTTTGCATCCATTAGTATATCCATTATTGTAAAGTAGTGTTTAAGTGTGCCCAGTTAGGATACCTGTGATGAGTCTAAGTTTGAGTTTAAGTATCTGTTATTGTTAAAGGTACCAATAAATGATATGGATTGTTTTAATCCTGCTGTATTATCCCAGTAATCATTTTTATTCTGGTTATACTTCATTTTTATGAGAGAAAGGAGCGTAATATGCCCTAGTCCACAAAAAGGTTCCGGCCACATCATCAGTGTGGCTGCTCCTTTCCTGGCCAGTTTGTCCGCGTATTCGTTTCCACATAAATAACATATTATTTAAAATAACAAATATTCATTAAAATATTCAATTATTATATATAGCCACTTCTTTAATTTTAAATAATTCAACTTTAAACTTTTAAACTTGAATAATTGATTCAAGTATTTAATTTATAAATTCAAACTGAATCTTATTAATTTATTTATGAAATAAATCAACAAGCAAAAAAAAACAACAAACTATTTTTGTAAAAATATAACAATAATATTAAACACTCAGAAAATATATAGCTATAACAAACATTCTTGAATCCGAAATTTTTATTTACATATTTTATTTCTTATCATAGTCAAAATAAATAAAGTAAATATTTTTAAGTAAAGAAAGGATGCTGAATTAAACTAAGTTTATTTAAAAGCACTTTCAGTATTAAAAAAACAATAAAAAACTAAATTAAACTAAACAATAATTTAAATAGATACTCCTATTATAGGGGCTTTACTTTTATTTGAATTATGTACATATTTTAAAACAAATTTAATCATCATATTTAATTCGACAAATTCAGCAAACTATTAAATATATTAAATATTTTACTATACAAGATTTATTTTCAGTACTTGAAATTCAAAATACAACTTATAGATGTACTATAAAATATATAAAATATATATAAAAAAATTTTTACCACATTTTCCATTTCGAAAAATTGTATAACTTGGTTTACCTTACAAAAAATAAACAAAAATTGATTATTTTTCGAAAATAAAAAAGCAAGTTAAAAATTAATTAATTAAAAAACGATTAAAGTAAATTTACTTTGTATTTTATCTTATAATATGCTTAATATAAATAATATATAACAAAAGTGTCAACCAGTTTCATTTCAGTATATCAATGAATTTTTATTATTTAATAAAAAAAATTTGTCTTTTGTAATTATTTATATTCTAGGTATCATCATTGCTAAAATACCTCCCCCCATTCTAAATCCTTTATAAAACAATGAGAAAACTTAAACTCTTTAACATGAAAAGTTTGTAATGATATCATATAACAATATCATTCAGGTATGTATGTTTAAATTAAATTATAGACATACGAACAATATAAGTTTACAATGCTATATTTAGCTTTCTTCTAACAAAATCTCTAATTCCCATTCAAACAGTTTACATTAATATACCTCTTTTTAACTCAAGACTATATTTTTCAATATAGTATATAGATTTAACAAAACAAATATAAATTTTTAACAATTGCAGAATTCATGTTTTGCACTTCTCATCTAAAAGATCCCAATTGTCACTACATATATCATATCATACATATATTATAAATAATATGTATATTATTATCATATATTAAAACTTATCAGTTTGGAAGTTACGTTTGGAAGTAAAGTAGGCCGTCACATAAATTATGGTCTGTAGGGTTATGTATTCACCTTTTTTTGTGGCGTATCTCCGGTGACTAGCCTTTACAGGGTCAGCGTTTTAGCATTAGACAATACATTGTGAGCATATGTCCATAAACCAAGAAAATAGAAGTAGAGCCATGACAGTGACGAAGTTCCAGTTAGTAGATAACTGGAGGTAAGACACATTTAACATATAATGTATTTTAATGTAATCAAAAATTATTTGTACAAATTTATCTAAATTGAATAATAAAAACTATATAATATGACAACTAAAACTATAATATATTGGTTTGAAATTTCCAATATCTCATTATATCCTAACCCCACAATATTAGGTAACAAATTAAACCTTTGTGGGTTTACAACGTATAAAATAATTAAAATTAAAAACGTATAAAATAATTCATCATACGCAGTGTTGCACAGACAAAGACTTAATATTAGTATTTTAGTTAGAGAGCAAGCATTTCTAATAATTTTTATAAGTCGACTATAAAAAGTTTATATACATTGTATATATAAAGATAGAAATTAAGTCAGAAAAATAAAGTAATTTTTTTTTGTTTTGAAGAAAGTTCGAGCTTGAAGAATTGGTAATTATCAACATATATCACCTTTACGAAAACGTACGCTAAGCAAACGTTTCTTAAGCCGCCCTACAAGCAATCAAAATAATTGAAAATAATAGACAAAAACATTTAACAATTTACCAAAATAATTTTGTAAATATTGAATAAAATTAAATAAAACAATAATATTTTAATTAAATATTTATTTAAATAAAACGCGCTACTTACATTTAACCATTTTCAAGCCATTTTCATTGTTCTGCGTTGATTCTCCAGCATCTTGGATGCCAATTGATTGTTAATGTGCAATTGATGCGGTTGTTGGTGTTGGTATATATTAAGGAAGTGCCAAATTTTAAATATATATTTATATATACATGTGCATATATTTCATATATTATAATATTTATTTATTACACATGCAAATATATTTGAGGAAATTTATAAATTAGTTTATTTTATAATAAACATGCTTAAATAATATAGCAAGTATATATATGATATTTAAAAAAAAATATTTTATATAAAATATATAATAATGTTATAAATATAAAATAACATTTTTTACACATTTCAAAAATTTGTACGAATAGAAAAGTCTACAAGTTTAGCAATACAAAACGAGACTATCTAGAATAATTTAATATTAAAACTAAACATTATAATTAAACTTCCACAAAAATTCATACTTGTTTTTATTCAAAGTATCACCTACTAATCCCGCCTAATAAGTGTTATGTGGTGTCAATTGCTTTCCAAGATATCATAAATTAATTCTACTAATAAACAGAGAAAATATAGATAAGCAATTATAAACTCCGAAGAAAGGTTTTAGCTCATAACACTGCTTAGTAAGCAGTACTTGGTGATCCACGTTCTTTATGACGTTGTTATTGTAGCTCGCAAGATTTTGCTTTTGTAGTTTATTTTGGATGTGTTGAATGGCACTTGGTCGTCGAATTCGACAAGTGACTCTCCGTGATGATCATTCTTGAAACTATTTTCATGACATAAACTATCTTCATAAATTAGTTAGATCCCTTATTTACAGTTTCCCTATTTACTAGTAGTATTTACTATTTACTACTAGTATACTACTATACTACTAGTAGTATACTAGTATTTACAAGTAGATACAGATAAACAATCTAACACAAACTATGAATTCATATATACTATGAAATGCAGTATTTAGTTGTCTAAATTGACAAGTGGCTGGCTTCGTGTCATAGACCCAGTAATACTTGGAACCTTATTATGTTTCTAATTCTTTCTCACTTCATATATCTACACAGTCGGTGTTACAATAGTTTATTAAAAAATTGTTTTCGCGTTTTGGACCAAAGAGTAATTTTACGGAATTACTATTATTTTTAATGAATAAGTTATAAAAACTCTTTTCGTATTAAATCATTTAATTTTCTAATTTATATAAACTAAAAACCTAATAAAATATTTTTATCCTATACTAATGTAAGCACTTCTACAAAAATTTTACGAATATTTCTGCACATTTTAAACAGATACTTAAATTAAAAACTTTCTAATGCTAACTGTTATTAATTGAATGTAATTTTGAGTTAATTATAAAAATTTACTTTTATAAAAGTTGTCACTGTATCTAAAAAAAGTTCTTTACTATGAATCATAATATAATTTACTAATTAAATTACATACAATTAATTCTTTCTTTAAAAAACATAAATTACCGTATGTAAAAAGGTTTACAATTAAGCCATTTTCCCGGAAACTTATATACAAAAAATAGTTGTATTTTTCTTCATTTGAATCGATACACATTCGTACAAATTTTTGAAGTACTTTAATATATATACTGCTTAATTAGCTTAATTAAGATTATGTTCAATGCGTAATAAACTACTTACCTTGCGATACATTGCGGCTCAAAGAATCCATACTACCACTTAAACCATTTTGTGCATTACGTTCAACTGAATTTAAATCTGCAGAGCTTTCATTTGGTTGCAAAGTGCGTGGTATATCCAATATATTTCTTTGTGCACTGCTTTCATCACCGAGTATTTGCGAGCAATCAAAACCATTGGGAACGCGTAAAATTGCAACTGACAAGTACATATCCAGAGCCTACAGATTGTAAAACCAAATAGGTATATTCAAAATAAAGGATACGCTCAACTACTCGTACTTATACGTACGAATATAACAACATACCTTATGCATAACATTGAAGTATTGATTTAAGTCTTTGCGCTCACATGTTTGCCAATCCGCTTTGTAGCCCATAAGTAAAATGTTTGGTTTTAATTTACCAATACCACAAGCCTAGAATTTAATTAAAATAAGTGAGTGCAGTAATTAAAAAAGTACAAATAATATTGAACAATTTTTATACATAATTATTAAATTGCCAGAAATCTTTTCGAATTACCTGCATTAGTGCTCTTGAACCAGATTCAAAATCTTCACCATCCACTAATGAATAAAAGCCCTTTACACGATGTTTACGGAACCATGACGATGCACGTTCTTGCAAATAATTACGATAACGTTGAGAGCTGGAACCACGCAGGACATGACCACAAACAAGTAGAGACAAATTTTTCGTTAGCATATAGGCGAAATCTACGAGTACAGGTCGGGTATTTGGTAAACCAGACAACACCAAAATCTAAAATTAGAAAACGTATTTCAGAAAAAGAACTCATATTATTTGTTTATTCGTGATATCCAAATTTACCTGCGGTCTGTAATTCTTTACATGTTCCTCAACATTATTCAATTGCTGTACTGACATAAGAGCATTCTTATATGTTTGAGCTTGTGTAGTTGAACCCCAATTAACATCCGGTTTACGATAAGCCACAATTAAGTACAAAGCCAATACAGCACTAAATGTAATAAGAGCCGTAGCCCAAGAGATAAGAAACATAACTGCCACACACAATGCAGCTCCAACTAAACTAAGCCACATATTGTAATACTACAGATTAATTGAGATATTGCATTAGTTATTTTGAAGCCATTTGAGAGATAGCATACTCACCTTAAAGGTAGGACGCCAACCAACTGGTTTAGCTAAACTTGCATGGAATGTACTGAAATTAATTAACATGTATGCGGCCAAGAAGAAATTGGAAATCAAGGGTGCAATTAAATTCAACTCCCCAATTAAAATGAAACTGAAATGTAGTTTAATAAAGTTTTCAAACAAATAGTTCGGTACACAAGATGTTGACTTACGCGACAGCAATGACGAATGTCAAAACATAACCACGGACTGGTTCATTATTTTTACCAAAACCCTTGGCAAACCAAACTATTTTTGGATAAAGTTCATCTTTGCAGAGAGCCTGCAAAATAATTAAAATAAAATTAAAGCAAATTTTATGATACCGCAAAGTATGTTAATTAATTCAAAAAAAAAATTAGAATACTTTATATATCCGTTGATGTACATTAATTAGTAATAGAGATATGTTAACACTTAGATATATTAACACTTATATATTTTTGTGTTAATATTGTAACTAGCTTTTAATATCTTAATTTTACCTGAAATACTTTAGGCGCGGATACCAAACTAGCTAAAGCAGATGATAATGTAGCAGCAAAGCAGCCAGCATAGATTAGTGGTCCCCAAGCAGATACAAGTTCAATGACTTGGAATGAGTTTTGAAGTCCATATTCACATTCTCCTGACAAAACAATAATAAAATAAATATAGTATTTTATACATTAATAACAAAATAATAAAAGAGGAATTTTTCTTACCTGGTAAACAGTCTAAAAATGCGAAAGAACCATTTACCATATCTGTTACATTACCAGTTGCATCACGTACCACAGTGCCACCACACTGCAAAACCATTATCAAATAAGTTGCTGTTGTGATCACGATAGCTAATATGGTGCCTTTTGGTATAGATTTTTGTGGATCCTTAAATTTATATAGAATAATTAAAAATTAGAATATGTAAATTTTTATGAAAAAATTCAAATTAATGATTTGAAAAAAATAGATAATATAAAATATTTAGTTTTAATCATTTTTATAATAATTAATTTTAAAAATATGCATAAAATTTATAGTAGCTATACTGATACCTCATTACCTGAACCTTTAATATTTTATAGAAAATGTACTTACTTTTAAATCACCAGATATGTTAGCACCAGCCAAAATGCCAGTTGCGGCTGGAAAGAATATGGCAAATACGGAGAAGAAGTCATGCCTCACGCCTTTATCTTCTCTATAAGCAGGGAAAAAGTTGTTTTTAAACGTCGTCACTAAATATTAAAATACAATTGAAAATAAAAATGTGATTTCATGCCGAATTTGTGTACAAACTTACTATTATAACCTAAAAATCCTTTAGCAACTTCACCATCACTTTTAGGACCAATAAAAGAACCAATCATAAAATCAGCAATAGCAATCAAAAGTATGATAAGCAAACCAATTTGTGCCTAGTAAATTAATCTTATTAATAAAACTATATAACAAATTATTTATAAAACTCAACATAACATTAAAATGCATTTTATAAATTTAAAAATAAAATAAATATTGAAATTTAATTAATGTAAAATATTAAATATTATTAATAAAATTTTAATAATTAATTATAATAAAAATAAAAATCAGAATTTAAAATCTACAACTTTAACTAAAAATTAAAATTAAAATTCAAGAAAAGAAAGAAAATTAATTGTAGATAGAAATGTATGAATTTTATTTACATACCTTTGCTTCCCATTCCATGCCAACGACTACTATCACAAGTAGTATTAATATAGTAATACTGCCAATAATACGCACATCTTGAATTCCACCATCGATAATGCTAACACCAAAACTTTTTAGCAAGTCTAACATGGATTCACAAAAACCAACCACATACATCGCGCAAGCAACAGCGTTTGCCAGTGAAAATATTAAACCAATGGAACCGCCAAACTCAGGACCAAGCGAACGTGATATCATATAATATGTCCCACCTTAAGAGAAATGTAATAAAACAATATAAGATTTATAAATTTATACAAAATACAATGAACCTACCTCCTTTTATCACACCATTCGTACTTATCGCAGACATGGATAACGCTGTAATAGTTGTCACCGCTGTTGTAGTCAAAATTAAAACAAATCCTTGCCATATACCAGCTTGTCCAACTACCCAACTCAGACGCAGGAATAACATAACACCCCAAATGTTAAGCAGACACCGTATCAGGACACCTTTGATCCAACCAAACTTTAACATGCCCTTCATGACAGCAGCTTCTATATCTTCATTGCGGTTTAAACTATGAGTATTCTACATAAATAAAAAATATTTAAAGACATATTATTATTGTTAATTTCGCAATAAATTATTCTATTTTGGAAAGATTTTATCCTGTTGCTCAGTAATTTAATGCTATTATAGCAATTCAGTCATAAACAGCTTATTAAAAATCAATTTCATAGTATAAAACGTTAATGGCTTACAAAATTCACAAAAAATTCCAAAATTCTGTACTTTATCACAGTACGAAACTTTTCAGAATCATTTTAAGGTTTAAGTTAAGGAAATCTACCCAAATCATTTAAGCAGGATAGCTGCTTACAAGTAAAGCTTTTCAGTCTTTTCTCATAAACATTCATTTTCATTGACAAACAAATTGCAAACTTTGTGAACGCCTTTCCATTGAAAACAAATGAAACTCCACAAATCCTTGTGAAATAAAACGCAAATTAGCCCCAATAATTTGCGATGTGAAGAGAAAACACAAAGGACCTTTGTTGAGAAAGGAAAAAAGAACATTTGTAAAAAATAAAATTTCATTAAAGGCACTTAAAATGCTTAACATAAACAAAAGTTTTGTATTTCGTTACGAAAATTCATACAAATTGATACACGTGGTTTCTGATGATATATTTTATATTTACTTGGAAGAATATCTACACAGATTAATGTTGGTATGGTAAAACAACAAGTAGGTTTAATTGAAAGCTCTTATTTGAAGTCCATAAGAAAAGTTTTACCTCTTTTAATGGAACATTGAAATTGAATAAATATTGTTCAAATAAATTAATCAATTGTTCTACAGAACTTAACTCTAACATATTTGTATTTCAGATTTAGTTAAAGCAGCAAAACATAATATGAACTTAATAGAAAAATACTACGAAATTATAATACTTGCCCAAAGCTTAACTCAATTAAAATGTTGATTTGGTTAGATAGATTATTATTATTATATTGAGCCTTCTCATCGTTAGTGCATCAGAGCACTTTTACTCTTTGATAACTGGGGGATTTCTGTAGAGTCCCACTCATCTCATTTACTAATTTGTGTATTCCTCATAAGCTTCGTGATTATTCCATGACTGATCTAAGATGTGCATACTGACCCGACCGGTTAGTGATTACACTGAGATAAGATAGTGCTAATTAGGGCAGCCTGTCGGTTTTCGCATATAGCTTCAGGGCTCTGTCCTTTATGTAATTTTTGACCGGCTCTATTCTAAGGTCTCTCAGCATGTCATTCGTGCGGATATACCATGGCACATTGAAGAGCCTTTTTCAGGAGAGCCTGACTTTGAGCAACTTGTAGCTCAATATATGGAGCACCGTTGTGTTATCATAACTTCTTAAGCTTTACTTGGTTATCTAAGTAAAGTATCGGTTTCATTTTTCATGATCAGTTGTCTATGAAAAAACTCCTTTGAAGGTCGGTGCCGCGTTTGCTATTCAATGATTCTGAGGGTTTTTTTTTAGTGTTGAAGCGAGAAAAAAAACACTTTGTTGGTCAATATATAACAATGGACGAAATTTAAATCTATCACTTAACTACAGAGTCGAATCGGCAATAAGCTAAGTGAACAACAGCCGACAAATTGGCCAAAAGCGCCATAAATAGTTGGTAAGATCATACTATTATAGGATGTATTATAGGATGCGTTTGGAATTTTATTTTATTTATCGATTATCTTCAAAAGACCCAAACCAACAATAATAATCACTACATACCAAGATGAATCATTCTATAGAAGAATTATCGAAATGTTAATGTTATATTCAGAAAAATACACGAATTTACAACTTTGAACTGCACGATAAAGCATTCCAGCTTGCGGAGTAATCAGTGGAGTAATCACATATTGATTATGTTCGACTTCTTGGCTCTGTAAATTTCAACTTAATTTATCTAATAAATTCTCGCAGAGCTCTTTTCGTGTATTCACCATATTATAGCTAAATTCTGTCAAGTACAAACTACTGAAACTAGCGTTAAAAATAGCAATTTAAAGACGGGCATGTGAAGAAGTGAGCAATTTGGCTAATACCTTTGAATCACTATAGATAACAATTCATCATACAAGTAGAAGAGAAACTATTTCATTCAGACTTAAAGGCCGAATATCAAAAAGCCTATTTGTGCAGATTTTTAGAGAAGACCATAAGAATAATGCGAACAGTAACTCATAATGATGATAATGAATAAATATTTCAGCATATTATTTATTTATATATATTTTTTGTTATTTTTTTTTATTTTTTTTTTTTATTTTTATACATACATATTATAGCTTAGTCTTGAAAACATGATGGACATATCATATATAAAGACAGATGACTCAGTTTTGATACGAAAAATTTTTAAATAGCTTTAAATAATATTTAACTCGATAAATTATTTCTTATGTTATTGAATCAATCAATTGACTTAAATTGAACTTAATTACTACAAAAATAGAAAAATTAATGACTCAGAGCGTTCACTGGAGGTTTGGGTTACTAATCTTTGTCACCTAATAAAGTTTATTCTTTTCTTTTAACTAGAGAAAAAAAAACTCAACAGAAATAGTAATTTTTTAAAATTCAAATATTAAAAATATTTTTGGATGAAATTAATTTTTTTACTAACTAAAATTTAATTAAATAACAATTCAAAAAAAAAACAAATTAAAATCAAAGGTTAAATGATTGTGTCTTCTGGATGCTGTTGAAATGCACATAGCTGCATTGTACATTATTTTAATTATTGTGGGACCAATGAATCTGAATCTGTTTAAGAACGGCTAAATGTGCATGAGGCACTGAAATAGCTTATTTATTTCTAGATACGAGCTGATGAAGCCATGTTTTACTGCGCACATATAATTCGCCATGCAATTGTACTGTAAAATGTCAAATCGAATTTAATTTGATGCACTTCAAATATGCCTGATATAATTGCTTACAAGTGATGCAAATGTCGATGCAATTATTGCTGATAAGCAAAACTGCAAATTTCAATTAAATAAGCTGAGTTATTGCATTGATTGCAATTCTCACTCTGTTAAACTAAGCACGAAGAATTAGAAAATGATTTGTACTGCACAAGGTTATCATAGATGGAATATGTTTATATAAATCATAATATAAATTAACGGAATATTTTATTTTTGATTGATTTTTAAAGTTATTAGTTCAGTTTTGAGATTTAGTGTTTAGTAATCGTCACTTTAAGTAAGAATAAAAGAACTGCATCAAATATTTTTTTAAGATTTATAAATTTTTTTATACGTTAACTAATTTTATGGTTAACTTGAAGTTATAGTTTTTCAGTATTATTAAGAGTATGATTGAATTTAAGCATTTCTTGTCAAAACAATGAATATTAGAATGGAGTAGCAACTGTTATTAATGTCGGTACAAGTCTTTTGGATAAGTATTTCAACCACAAAATGCTTTTCTAAGACATATTAACACAAGAGGTTATAAATTTAATCGCATGTCACATGCTGACAATTTTTATACAAAATCCAAAATGTTTCTTGTAAAAACCCAGAATCAACTGCAGTCGTCTAAGCAATTTCTCCTTACGTGCCATACAGATGGACACTTCAACTCCAATGGCATCATGTTTAATAGAGTCCTCCCACCGAGATGTATTTGGATCCGCCACATAGGAGTGGCTAAGTTTCTCCATTTTCATCCTGGTTGACTTCAATTTAAATCTCATCCATCCTTCCAATACACACCCACTTTCTAATACTCCACTCTGCTCTCACATAACCATTACCCATCTACATTCAAACCCATGTATTTGTTATGTACTTCTTTTCATGTCATATGTTTTAGAGATCTCTGCGCATCACAGCAACAATAACAACCGCACACAGACTGGTTGATCAAAAGTGCAAAGAGATGAAGTTGACGCTATTAAACAAATTAAAATTGATTGGACTATCACTTGGAACAGATGCTAAGTATATATCCTATGTTGTATTCCTATCTTATATATTAAGTTCACTTAGAGCAACATTTTTAGAACTTTAAAAGACTTCCCTTACAACAATTCACAAAACTAACTCACCTTGCCAGTTAGGGTTGCATTGTGTAGTTCATCAAGTGTAGGACGGTAGGCAGCTTGTATTGACATAATATTACGATAATTATCCAAACGTGGTAAAGCTTCACGTGTAAAATGTCTGCAAAGGTTTAGAACACATTTAAAAAATATATTATAAAAATTATATATGCATATATTTAATTCATTTACCGAAAGCTTTTACCATATTTTGTATCATATTCATTATCCAGCAGCTCACGATCTTCTTTGGAATCATTGGAGTCATCTGAATCTTCATTTTGTGGTGCTACTTGAAAACGTGTCGTTTGTAAATCCTTAAAACGTGATGGTTTATCCTTATCGCGAAAACTACTTTTGATAGATTGTCTATATATGAATGAATAAAAACCAAAATATTTTTTAAACAAATTAAAATATTTAAAATCATATCAAATATTAATAAAATACACGATTGCAAATAATAAATCTAAATATTAATGTCGAAATGTGTTTAATGACTGAAAAAATATTACAAAGTGTATAATTAATTGCCAGAAAAACAGGAAAAATTTATTTTGTGCTACTTAATTAGCAAAAAATGTTGCCCAGTCTATTGTGCTCAATTGCAGCAATTTATTTTCTCCACAGATTGATATCAATGCAAGTGGCAGCAAAATAAATGAGTCTTAAAACTATTTTTTGTCGTAATAAGAAAGTTACTTAAGCGAAAAAATATCGAAGGAAAGTATCTTCATTAATCACATAAGAGAATTTCATGAAATATTAAATACGGCCTTAGCATAAAAATGACAAATAATTAACAACATCAAAAATTAATGAAATGGAAAAAAAACCATTTTAAATAATTATTATCATTAAATATAACAAGTGTGTTTTTAAAAAAAATGTGTAAATATTTAAAATTTATTTATTTTATAAAACACCTAATATTTCAAGAAAAAATTTAATGAAAATACGAGGGCGGTTTGATAAATCAGTGACTTTTTGAATTTCTCGCGCAGTTACTCCAAATGCAACAGTGTTGCCGTCAGCTGTAAATCTACCAGGATATTATAACTTTTAATTTGACA